ACACACACACACACACACTACACACACTACACACACTACACACACTACACACACTACACACACTACACACACTACACACACTACACACACTACACACACACTACACACACTACACACACTACACACACTACACACACTACACACACTACACACACTACACACACACTCACACACACACACACACACACACACACACACACACACACACACACCACACACACACACACACACACACACACACACACACACACACACACACACACACACACACACACACACACACACACACACACACACACACACACACACACACACACACACACACACACACACACACACACGTTTTTTGGTTGCGCTTTTGTGTGCAGCCGTCAAACATTGCTTTGAGAAATGGGCCTGCCTTGACAAGCTTTTCTCACATGGGTCGTTTTGAAGCTGTTGCTTTGAATCCTGTATCCGGAGCTTGACTTCCTCAAGTATCAACTTCTTCCTGAAATTGCCTATGCTCGCAGCTGCTCATGCTGAAATTGTTTTCCTTGATCCCTTATCGACTTGAAGGGTCGGGTGCTGAAGGCTCCGAATCCTCACTCATCACTTCGGTAGTGGCTTTTTTCAATTTCGTGGAGCAAGTGTTCTAGGTGAAGGGGTTTGAGCCCCTATGGCCAAGAAAGTGCGGAGCTTCAGAGTTTGTATGCATTGGTTGAATACTTCGGCAACAAGCAGACCCCTGAATTGGAGATGGTCTTTTGCAAGGACAATTTGCAGAAAAGACAAGAAATAAAGACGGCTCATGCCTGGGACCGTGTCCGCCACAGCCTTGTGCCGTGTTGCCTTTCGCTCACTTCCTATTTTCAAGTTGCGCAAGGACATGTTAATTGTAAACGCTGCGCGCTGCCCGCCTCGGCCCAGCCAAGCGTGCAGCGTCTGCTGTTCGATTGCAAGCAGCAGAGCTGGTCCAGAGGCGATTCGGACTGGTTCTGCTCTTACGATAGACCGGAACTGGTTTTGGGCCATCCACAGAACTGGACAACATTGGCAAGGTCGGCTGGCTGGCCTATTTGGCTTGAAGAAAAGGCCAGGCACTTCGAGCTGGAGTAACCGAGATGGACCGCTTCCAGGCTCGCTTCTCAAACCCAGGCAACTGGGGGCTGTGTGTGGCGGGTTGCTGGTTGCTGCTGGAATGGGTAGCCTCTCTATGTTGCAGGAGGTCATGCTTTTCGGACCCAAAACTAGTTGTGTGGGTTGCTGGTTGAGCTGGGCTTGCTGGGGCTAGGCCTGAGGCCAGTCTAAACTAGTTTTTAGTGCTGTGCGGGAAAAGTGCTGGCTGGGGGCTGTCTGTGGCGGTTGCTGGTTGCCTCTGTGGGTTGCTGGTTGGGCTGGGCTTGTGAGGCCAGTCTCAGACGTTCGACAGGCCCATGGAGCTGGGCGCAAAATTTCAAGGCCCGCCGGACAGGATCTTAGGAAGGGGTTGGGGAAGAGGAAAAGCGAAGTTTCCCTTTGGGAAATGAGATCTGAGCGCCCTTGGCTTCCTTGGGGCCGAGGCGAATCTCATTTGTATCGCTTGCCCTCTAAACGAATTCCACTGGTGCAAAGTAGTTCATGCGCTAACACAGAGTCGTGACTCTGAACCGTTCTCCCAGGGGCTCAAACTCGAGCTCTGGGGTTTGGAGAACTGCGGCAGAAGCTTGGCAACTGAGTGGAGGGCTCGGAGCTCAGAACTGATGCTTTGAGCAGAGGTAGGGCAATAGTGTTGGGCTGTGATGAGAGGAGTGCCGTGGCAGACACTCTAGGGGGAAATCCATTTGGTTTAAGGCTAGCTGTGCTGCAGCTTGCTTCTTGACAGCTGTGACCTGCAGCGATGCAGTGTATGTCCGGACCCTGTTAACGCAAAACGTCCACGAGCCATCTGCAAAGGATGCTTCTGTTGCTGCGGTCTGTCATGGCAAGCCACGTTGCAGCTTTGGTTAACTCAAGCTGGTCTATTTGCCGCCAACGCTATCTCTTTCGGCTCATGCTGTAACCATGCATGTTACACGCTGAGCAGCTGGAACACTTGAACTTCTGGGTTGACTTCTCTTCTGAGTTACAGCACAAAGACCTACGGATATGAAGCGTAGTAATATGCGCAGAAGCCCTGAGTAGGCAGTTGTGAGCGGGTCATCTTGCATAGACTCCCACAACATGCTTCAGAATGTGCAGCCTGGCTCCTTCGTCAAGGCTGAGCTATGCAGCCTTATTTTGCTTGAGCTTTGCTTGCTTGCTTGCTTGCTTGCTCGCTTGCTTGCTTGGCATGATTTAGAGAGCAAACAGTCAGGCGCTGCCAAACCGACCCGGGCCTGCTGGCAAGTGCTTGACTCAGCGTGTTTGCGGGTCAAATTGGTGGCGAGGCTTGCGCTGGGTCCATTAAATTGACCATGGTTGGAAGTGCCATTGCCAAATACCTTTGGGAGGGTTGATTTGAGGGTGTCACATTCATGGCCCTGTTGTGACAATCTTTCACTGCAGCAAACCAATGTGGCCAATGTATGGTATTGCACTCATTTAGTATAACTCAGATAACATACCAGCTCATGGCTGGCAGGTCCATCCCTGTTTGCTCCTGCTCTGGAAATCAGACAAGCCTGGGCCGCTTGGTCAAGTCATTGAATGTCATCATTACGGCAAAGTCAAGCCATGCTATTCTTTGAAAGCAATGCCATGTTGTGCCCAAACCTGAGGTATGTTGGCTGCAGTGACCTTGACAGTTGCCAAGCATCGGAAGCCATCTGCCAGAATATTCAGAAAGGCAACCGGAGTGCAACTGTCACCTAAGCTGCAAGCCTTTTTGGAAACTGCAAATACTGGTGGTGTGGTGGCACCGGGCAAGGGCGGGAATGCGTCCATTGAGGGTATTGCACGCGCAGAAGCTGTTTGGCAGAAACTGAAAGCAAAAGCATTGCAGCAGGCACGTGCGCAAGAGCTGGATCCTCCACCAACTATAGTGAGACGTTATGCTTCTGCTGCACCAGTTGATGCAACCCAGTCCTATGATGTTGTGGTTTGTGGCGGAACGTTAGGAATCCTTGTGGCACGAGCGCTGCAGAATGAAGGATACTCCGTTTGTATTGTAGAGCGTGGGGTTGTCAAAGGCCGTGACCAGGAGTGGAATGTAAGCTGTGAGGAGCTGGAACCACTCGTGAAGAATGATATAATCAATCAGCAGGACCTGGACGCTGCAATATTGTCCAGATGGCCCAAGTCGCGTGTTGGCTTTGAAGGTACATATGCCGTCGAGTTTCGTGCTGGTGCACTTAACGCAGGGGTATCACCACACATTCTTGTGGAAGCAGCGCGGCGGCGCTTTGAAGAGGCTGGCGGACAGATTCTGGAGGGTGCAATGCTGGAAGGTGTGGATCTATTCGACGATGCCGCTCTGCTTCGATTGACAGGGCGCGTCATTCGAGCACGCCTTGTTCTTGATGCCATGGGGGCAGGTTCACCCATCGTGGCGCAAGCTCGTGGCGGAGCTGCGCCTGATGCTGCTTGCTTGGTGGTTGGAACGATGGCTAGTGGCTTTCCCAAAGACGGCAACCATGATGGCGATTACCTGTACTCAGGTGTGCCAACTGCGTCTGGACACCAAGCCTTCTGGGAAGCGTTTCCATCTGCAAATGGTGGGGCTGATGGCACTGACAGGACAACCTACTTCTTCACATACGTTTTGCCGGGCCAGGAAAATCTCCCATCTATTCCAGATGTATTCGAGGACTATGTCGAATCCCTTCCCAATTATCAGAAGGTCTCCTTGGAGCAACTGAAAGTTCGAAGAGCACTTTGTGCCAGTTTTGTGGCTTACAAGAATTCCCCTTTGCCAACTCCTTTCGACAGAACACTTCAAGTTGGAGATGCCGCAGGCATTCAGTCGCCTCTCTCATTTGGTGGCTTTGGAGCCTTATGCAGACACTTGCCGCGCCTCCGTTGTGCCATAGCAGATGCTCTGAAGCATGATTTGCTTGGTGCGGATGATTTGAGCCAGATAAATCCATATTTGCCAAACCTTTCCATGCAATGGACGATGTATCGCTCAATCGCAAAGCCTCCCGACCAAGAGCCAGAGTTTGTCAACAGGATGATGGGTGGCATTCTGAGTGCTGCTGAAAGGTGTGGTCCTGATGTCATGACGCCCATTTTGCAAGATGTGTTCAGCTTGTCAGCCCTAGTTCCCACACTGGCGTCTTGGATGTCAAGGGATCCGGGGGTGATTCCGCTCTTCATCAGCAGCATGGGCGCAGAGAACGTGATGGCTGCCGTGGCTCACCTGGGAGCCCTGGCGGTTTACACCGGAGCTGCGAGTTTGGAGCCCTGGCTGGAGCCCTGGGTGGCGAGCCTGCCTGCGGCAGAGCGCTTCCGTTGGCGTCGCCGCTTTGAGGCGTGGCGCTACGGCAGTGGTCTCGATTGAACTTCACTGTGACAAGCTCTTGAGTTCTTGTGAGCCTGAGCCGGGAGGGCGCGGAGATTTTCTGAGTTTTCAGCAGATGCAAGGCCATCTCAGATTTTCACTCTTTCTGTCTTTTTCGGCACTCTTTGCAAAAAGGTAACTTGCATCAACTTGCATGCTCAGGTGCAGGTAGTGATTCGGGCATGTTCTTGGGCTCAAAAGCATAGGCAAATTGGACTGTGGCTTTTTTTGTCATCTTAAGCAGCATATGGGAGCTAAGTAGCTAGCCGCAAGGGCAAAGTCAGAGAAGTCAGGCAGAATCCTCCGAGCACTGTTTGCTCACGTCGAAGCAAATATTCGCACTGAGCAGCATGAACAGACAGCTTTTCAGTTAAATGTTGGCAGAATCCCCAGTATGGCGTAGGCTGAAGCGGACAAAGCAGCAGGTTGGGAGTTGCCGGTATTGTTGTTGAGACTGCGTCTGCCCCTAGTTGGGGGTGGTCTTGTTTGAAAGGTTCCCTTCTCAGGTTGGAAGTTCAAAGGGAAAACCCAATGTTGGAGGTCCGCTGATTTTAACATAAACCGAACAAGGCTCGAGTCAGCATGTGTCCATAACCCTCCACATTCATTTGCATGCCAATTGCAGCCCAATTGCACTTGAAGGAACCTGGATCTGGCAAAGGAACTAACGGCTGTTCGCTTGAGTACATCGTGGTTGGGTAGCATATTGCTGTATTGTATGCGTATCAGTGTCAGCATAATGGAAGCAGAGGAACCGGAAACTCGAAGGATGTCTCGTCAGGCGATGTTTCAATGCCAGTTCTTATCCCTGGTGGTGGAAGGCTGCTCAATTCCTCATGGCGCGTGCTGCGTTGTGCATTCTGTGAGGCTGGAATGGCGGGTGGTAGCACGATTGACATCGCTGATCCGTGCGCCAGCGCATTTGAGACAGGTTCGGGGAGTACGTGCAACAGTAAGGGCAGCACCTTTGGCCGGTGAAAAGGGACAGTTGCCGACAGATTGCAGGTCTGATAGCCACGTTATGCCAGGCCTTGCCGCGATGTAGCACCCGTTTTGCACCTATTTTGCAAAATCATATCACACCGATGTCGAGCTTTGCACAAAGGTGGCAGATCGTTATGGAGGCGAACCTGTTTTGCATGCAGTGCGTGTAGACGTGAGTGTTCTGAGGTGCATATGAGCACTTGTCCGAGACTGAGCTTCTGATCTACTGACAATGCAATACGCACTGCAGTTGTGAGTGTTTCAACCAGGTGGGAGTGTCGAGGTTAAGCATTCAGCAGAAGCAGCACTGCCTTGCGCTGGAGCAGAAGGATGCCCAGATTGCTCACATGCAGGCCGCTTGATTTTTGCTTCCCTCGCTCCTCATGGCACTATTGGGCCTTAAACAAGTACTCTTTTTGCGTGCTCCCGGAATTTGCGTCGCGTCATAAAATTGACTAGGATGACGCAGGCAATGGTTTGCCGCACTCATCAGCACTGCTGCTAGGGAAAAGGCTTCTTAAATTCAAGGATTTGTGTTTGGAACCTGCAGTGTCTGCCTGCGGGACTTGCTCAAGTCCAAATGCACTGCAGCTCCACATCCCACAAAGATGGAGCTGGCACCATTCTTCCTCCAAACGTGTTTTGCGCCTCTTCCTTCGCATGAAGCACACTTCTCTACCGCAGAAGGATGACAATGCTAATGACAACAGTTTGCGAGGCAGTTTTTCAATCGAGTTTTTCCCACTTACAGGTCAAGTGCCTTGTGCTTTTCGCCAGCGCGTGCTCAAGGCATACTGCAGACATAGCCCTTGGCAAGCCTTACAGCAGGGGCCGCGTAGCCCCACGGAAAGGCCAGGCGTAGCCCTAACCCAGCCCCGCAGACACGCCATGCGTCGCCCTTGTGTGGCCCTGCGGATAAGATGTGCGTAGCCCTTGCCTAGCCCCTCGGATAGGCAGGTTCGGGATCGGGACGCAGACTCCCTTGCGCGCCACCAAAGGGGAGCTGATCACCCACACCTGCATCCACACCCACACCCACACCAGCGCGCGCACTCGTGCGCACTTGCATGAGTCCGCATGAATGCAGAGGCATCCTTGATCGAACAATTGCCAACTTTACAAGCAAAGGAATCACAGGGGTTTCGGCATGGCTCACTCGAGTTGTCTTTCCTGATAGCGCCACGCCTTTGTTTACCACGCGACTCCATGCACGCGGAGAAGGAACGGCCCTTATGAACAGGGTATCCACACCTGCCCACACGCACACAAACAAGCAAGCAAACAAGCAAGCGAGCAAGCAAGCCAGCAAGCGAGCAAGCTAACGAGCGAGCAAGCCAGCAAGCCAGCAGTCCAGCAAGCCATCCAGCCAGGAAGCAAGCAAACAAGCAAACAAGCAAGAACAAACAAACGCACGAACAAACAAACAACAAACAAACAAACAAAGAAACGAACAAGCAAAGAAACAATCAAACAAACAAACGAACAAACAGGCAAACAAGCGAGCAAACAAAAAACAGAACACGGAGACACACACAAACAAACAAACAAACAAACAAACAAAGAGAGAAAGAAAGAAAGAAAGAAAGAAAGAAAGAAAGAAAGAAAGAAAGAAAGAAAGAAAGAAAGAAAGAAAGAAAGAAAGAAAGAAAGAAAGAAAGAAAGAAAGAAAGAAAGAAAGAAAGAAAGAAAGAAAGAAAGAAAGAAAGAAAGAAAGAAAGAAAGAAAGAAAGAAAGAAAGAAAGAAAGAAAGAAAGAAAGAAAGAAAGAAAGAAAGAAAGAAAGAAAGAAAGAAAGAAAGAAAGAAAGAAAGAAAGAAAGAAAGAAAGAAAGAAAGAAAGAAAGAAAGAAAGAAACAAGCAAGCAAGCAAGCAAGCAAGCAAGCAAGCAAACAAACAAACAAACAAACAAACACAAACAAACACACAAACAAACAAACAAACAAACAAACAAACAAACAAACAAAACACACACGTAAACACGCGCAAACAGACACACACAAAAACACACAGACACACAGACACACAGACACACAGACACACACACACAAAACCAAACGCGCGCAGACACACATACACAAACACACACCACCACACACACACACACACAAACACACACCACCACACACACACACACACACACACACACACACACACACACACACACACACACACACACACACACACACACACACACACACACACACACACACACACACACACACACACACACACACACACACACACACACACACACACACACACACACACACACACACACACACACACACACACACACACACACACACACACACACACACACACACACACACACACACACACAACACACACCAACACACACACCAACACACACAACACACACACCAACACACACACAACACACACACACACACACACACACGCACACACACACACACACACACACACACACACACACACACACACACACACACACACACACACACACACACACACACACACACACACACACACACACACACACACACACACACACACACACACACACACACACACACACACACACACACACACACACACACACACACACACACACACACACACACACACACACACACACACACACACACACACACACACACACACATGCGCAAACACGCACGTACAAACACGCACGCACAAACACGCACGCACACACGCGCGCGCGCACAAACACGCGCGCACCAACACGCGCACACACACACACAAACACGCCCAGAAGCACACACGCACAGAAACACAGACACACGGACACACACACACACAGAAGCACGCCCGCACAAGCACGCACGCAAAAACAAACAGGCACGCGCAAACACGCCCGCACAAACACGCACGCACAAACACGCGCGCACAACACGCACGCAAAACACGCACGCACAAACACGCACGCACTCGCACACGCACGCACAAACACGCGCGCACAAACACGCACGCACAAACACGCACGCGCACAAACACGCACGCAAAAGCATGCACGCACAAACACGCACGCACAAACACGCACGCGCCAACACGCCCGCACAACTACACAAACACGCAAGCACAAACACGCACAAAACACGCAAGCACAAACACGCACGTACAAACACGCACGCACAAACACGCACAAACTCGCACGCGCCAACACGCGCGCACAAACTCGCACGCATAAACACGCACGCAAAACATACGCACGCAAAAAAATAGCACGCGCGCAAAACAAACACGCACGCAAAACAAACACGCATGCACAATCATGCATGCGCAAACACGCACACACAAACACGCACGCACACACACACACACACACACACGCACGCACAAACACGCACGCGCAAACACGCACGTGCAAACACGCCCGCACAAACACGCACACGCAAACACGCATGCACAAACACGCACGCACAAACACGCACGCACAAACACGCACCAACACGCGCGCACAAACACGCACGCACAAACACGCACGCACAAACACGCACGCACAAAAACGCACGCACGCACAAACAACACGCACACAATACAAACACGCACGCGCAAACACGCCTGCACAAACACGCACGCACAAACACGCATGCACACACACACACACGCACGCACAAACACGCACGCACAAACACGCACGCAGAAACATGCATGCGCAAGCACGCCCGCACAAGCACGCTCTCACAAACACGCCCGCGCAAACACGCCCACACAAGCTTGCCCGCACAAACACGCCCGCACAAACACGCACGCACAAACACGCACGCACTCGCACACGCACGAAAAACAACACGCACACAATACCAACACGCACGCAAAACAATCACGCATGCACAAACATGCATGCACAAACACGCACACACACACACACAAACACGCACGCACACACACGCACGCGCAAACACGCGCGCACAAACACGCACGCGCAAACACGCCCGCACAAACACGCGCGCAAAAGCACGCACGCACAAACACGCATGCGCAAACACGCACGCGCAAATACGCCCGCCCAAAACGCTCGCACAAACACGCAAGCACAAACACGCACGTGCAAACATGCACGCACAAACACGCACGCACAAACTCGCACGCGCCAACACGCGCGCACAAGCACGCACGCACAAACACGCACGCAAAAACACA